TTTTTTTTGAAAAGACAAGATCTTGCTATGTTGCCAGGCTGGAGTGCAGTGGCTATTTACAGGCACAATCCCACTACTGATCACAGTTATTTTGACTTCCATTTTTGACCTGGGTTGGTTCACCCCTCTTTAGGCAACTTGGTGGTCCCCTGCTCCTGGAGATATCACCGTATTGATGCCGAACTTAGTATAGACACCCGATCAGCATAGCACACCACAGCCCAAACTCCTGGGCTCTAGCATTCCTCCTGCCTCAGTCTCCCAAGTAAGCTGGGAGTATAGGCATGTGCCACCGCACCCGGCCAGCTCTTACCTCTTAATACTTTGTTGTAACTTGTGTATTAGAAGAAGCCTAGCTACTGAATGTTTTTAAAAACCAATTTTTATTATTTATTTTTCAGAGGATAAGCCCTGCATGACACTTTATTTCTCAGAGATTTCTTGTCTCCTGCTTTAGGGTGCTAGGGATACAATGATGAACTAGGCAGGCATGGAGTGTTTGAGAACAGCAGTTTGTTGTGGCTGGAATACAGTATATGTGGGGTAAATATCAGAAGATGAGGCTAGCAATGACATCTAGCAATGTCAGTGTCTAAAGCCTTATATGCTGTGCTGTGGTGTCTGTCTTTATCTTACGGGCAGAAAGGGTGCCACAGAGGAGATCTTAAGAAATGGAACAGTGGGAGCAGATTTGTAAGTTAACTGTGACAACCACATGGAAATGAATTGAAGTGAGGAGACAACATTGAGAACTCTGACTGGACTGGTGAATGAGGAGGACCTGATCAAAGGGAGTTAGGGTAGAAAGGCATTTTATAATCTATTAAAGACATAGTCGAGGATATTCCCTATATAGGAAAGAAATCTTTTGTTAAGATATCAAGAAACTATTAAATTTGTTAGAATTTCTAGATCTGTCATTTCAGATTTTTTCTGGCCTTCTCTATCTGGTTTACTAGCTATAATTTTAAATTGTAACTATGAAATCTGATTTTCATTGCACTAATTTTTTTAAACATCTACATTAGCTTCAACAAAATAGAAGGTACCAGAGTAGCCTTTCCTATTCATTGTTTTTCTCTTACTTGGGCTTCCTCTCTCTCCTTTCTCTCTCTTGCGCATGCTCTTTCTCTGTCTTGTTGCTTACACAGTATGAAGGTAATTTTCGTTTATTGCTTTATTACATGACTAATATATCATTATTTTAAAATTAGAAACTACAGATAAAAAAAAGTTAAACCACTGGACATCTACCCCTGTACACTAATTGTCATTAACATTTTAGTGCATGTCTCTCTCTGTGTACTTCCATGTAATATACATATATAAATGTCATGGTTTCTTTATAAAAATGAATTTATCTTTTACCTGTGATTCTGTAAACTACTTTCTTATCACTGTGAATGTTCTCATGTCACTAAGTATAGAAATATATTACTCCCTTGATTAATGTTTTTTCCCAACTTTTTATCTCTCCTTTCTCTTAAAACCTGTTTTCAAGTGGTTCAACAATATGTTTTATAAGTTGTAGATGCCATAGTACTTTGCCCTGAATTCTTCAGAATGTATTTACCAAGAATAAGGACATTCTTTTATATAGCCACAATGCCATTATTATGAAAAAGGAATTGAACATGGAAACTATGTAATATATAAATTTTCCCATTTGTCCAAAAATATCTTTTATGGCTGGGCTTTATAAGTGTTTGGTATGTATGTGTTTATGCTTGTGCTTTATTTCAAATTTCTGGTCCAGTCAAGGATCGTGGATTGTATTTGGTTGTCATAGCTCGTTAGTTTCCTTTAATCTAGAACAATCCCCTATTTTTATCTTGTCTCTCATGAAATTGACATTTTTGAAGAGTTCAGGCCAGTTGTCTTATAGAATATGCCACAATTGAGATTTACCTGATAATTTATGTTTAGATTCAGGCAGGTTTTTAGGCAAGAGTAGTTTTCCATTTCATTACATAATAATATCAGCTTATTCCTTATTGATGATGCCTTCACTGGTTAAAGTGGTATCTACCCGATCTTTTCATTATAAAAATACCTTTTCCGTTTGTAATTAACAAGTAATCTGTGGGCCTGTTGCCCAGTGACCTCTCACCCTATGGTGTTAGATTCCTTGGAAATCTCTAACTGAATCAGTTTCTACAATGGCAGTTGCAAAATCCTTTCACCTTGATTCTTAGGCATTCTTCTCAAAGAAGAGTGCCTTCTTCCCACTTCTTTTTTTGATATTGCTATGGACCAATTCTATTTTATTCAGTGTACACTTGTCCCCTGTATTCATGTGGGACTGGTTCCCACACGAATCCTCAGGTGCTTGAGTCCCTTATATAAAGTGGTGGCCTAGTATTTGCATATAACTTTACATCATCTCTAGATTACTAATAATACCTAATACAATGTAAGTGCTATGTAAATAGTTGTTACTCTGTATAGAGGGGTTTTTTTGTATTATTTTTTATCATTGTATTTTTTACTGTTTCTTCCCCCTAAATATTTTCATTCTACGGTTGGTTGAATCTGTGGGTGCAGAACCCATGGATATGGAGGGCCGACTGTAGTATAATCCGTTATTCTCATTTCTCTCTTTAAAGCTGTCATTGTTCCAATTTGGCCAATGGGATCCTTTTCAAATCGGCTCCTGAGTCTTTTTGACATGTCCTCATTAATTTTTGAACACTTCATTACTTTTTGGCACTATAAGTTGTTATAGATACATGTTGAGCTTTCCCTGCCGTGGACTCACAGTCAGCCATTTCACAAAGGAGCCTTGGTTTCTTATAAATACCAGTATTTAGAAACCATTTTAATGGCTACATCATATTTTACTGTATGGATGTACTATATCTTTAAAGTGTGTATTTGGAGACATTTAATTTTATATTAGAGAAAAACTGGAAACAGCACAGTGTAGAACAATCCTTATATGTAAAGATTTGTTCATTTTCTCACTTGTTTCCCTAGAATAAATTCCTAGATGTGGAACTGTTATGGCAAAGAATAGGTACTTTTTAAAGATTACGTGATCACAGTGTAAAACTGCCATCCAGAGAAATCACTGTTAAGGCTTCTGAGTTCTGTCTGCAATATTTGGCAGCTACAATTTAGGTCAGCTATCCTTTTTATCCGATTAAAATGAGGAGTTCTGGAATATTGCTGCTTACTAAATGGTGACTTGTAGCATGATGGATTTACTATTGAAATGATATGTTTTTGTTTATGATATTATACATTTAAAAATTATATTTCAGCAGTTCTAATACAACTTATTAGTTGATAAGCATTTTTAATCAAGGTATTTTTTTAAGTGAAACTTTTAATTTCCAAAAATTGAGCTTTTACTTATAGACACACCCTTATATTTGTTTTCCCACAATGCTTTTATAAGAAATGTACATTTGTTAGTCATAGGAGAATTTAAGGTGTTTTTTAACAAGAGGTCCATAATCTTTAGCCCACCTTTTAGTTCATGCTTTGATTTTTTTTTTAAACTAAGTAGTAAACTATAATTAAACTTGCCTTTTATTAGTTTTGGACTACCTCTGTGCAAATGGAGATTATTTTATAAATATTAAGTTTAACCTGGTGATTTTTGTGCATGAATTAGTTCAGTGTTTAAAGGATCTCACAATCTCTAAGCCTCAGTTTTCTGATCTGTAAAGTAAGGATAGTAAGATTTTCTCGTCTGCCTTATAGATCTGTTCTGAAAACTACACTGTGCCTGGCATATTGCTTCTCATATTGTGAGCTCTTGATTTAAAAAAACTAGAAGACCTAGTCATCCAACACTGTTGGCCTCTGCTGCCCTTATTCTACCTTTCTTTTCCTTGATACATAATTAATAAAGTTATATTTAAGTGGCATTTTTACAGTTTTCTTTACAAAAGAACTAAAAGTCATTTGGAAAATGTCTATTGTAAAGATTTCATATAAAAATCATGGCCTAATCAGTATTAATCTAAAAACAGCTTTATTATTTTTAATTGGCAATTTTAGGGTATTTTTTTAACAGTGAAATTTAAACTATATGTGTTTTCGCCTGTAAACTTTGGAATCATTTTTCTGTGAGCTTAATTATGTTCTTTTATCACATTTTTAAGTAATTGAGGACATTTGTAGGACTGCCAGTAAAGAGTTATTTATAGAGTTTTTCTTTTAACTAATCATATCAGTTTTCTGATTTTTATTTTAAATCTGATCATGTGCTTGTCATTGAGATAAGTCTACCCACTTTCATTTCAGATGTTTTCTTATCTGTTACCGTACTTTCTCTCTTAAAATTTCATAAGTATTTATATACTTAACAACCTAACATAAAAGTCTAGGAAGGCATTCCCCAAAAGTTGTGAGACTCCTTTCTCTCTTAGATATGTCTAGTTCCAGATTCCTGTGATTCTGATTTTCCATGTATCTTAGTTCTCACCCTTCCAATTCTTGTTTTCTTCCCCGTGTATATAGATTTATTAGAGTTAGTGGATCATAAGTCTTTTCAGTATAGCAGTCTGCATTTGAGAGACCATCTTTACGAAGAGCACCATTCCTTAAGTAGTTCTGTACTGTCCTGGCAAGTAAGAATCTCTCTCTTGAGCCTTATATCACTTTGTGCCCACCCATTACCACCTAAGGGAATAAAGAAATCTAAAGAAGTCTCTGAAATGTGGTGAATAAGAGAGTTTATCAGATTTCCAGAGATCTTAGCTTAGAAGTGGTGAGTTTTCCAGTTTTCAGATAGGCTTGTATATAAAATCAGCAACTTTGTCAAATTTAAAATATTTACAGATGTTAAAATCTATAAATCCCTGAACATAAACATTATGTATATATCATGTCATTAGCTAGCATAATGCACTTTCTCAGTGTAAACTCTGAACAATGGAAATACGTTAAATACGTACATTTAACCAGAAAACTCAGTGCTTTTTCGTCTTTTGGAAGATGAGAACCAGTGTATTGGCCCTTAATTCCAAATTCTTTTAACTGTTGTCCTGTATTTTCATCTGGACTCCAGTTCCATATCACAAACTCTACTAAGGTTTATTTACCTTGCCTCCCCAAACTAGCTTCTGTCAGCTTCTTGCTTTTATCAGTTATACAACCCATCAGTTGATCAATGGGGCTCAAAATCTTGGCATCATCTTTGTGTGTTTTCTTCTTTTATCCTCTTAGCCATCAAACATGTCAAATCTTACTTTCATGAGTTTTTGTTTTTCTTATCTAGTATTCTACTTCCTGATTCTTCCTCAAATCCAGCATGTCCCAAATTGTGTTCGGAAGATTGTTGCACTTGGGAAATTATAAACAGATATTGTAACCACCTAAGTTTGTCACTCTTTCGCATCCCTCCAATTGAACTAGAAGTTTCTTCAAGGCAGGGACCAAATCTTAGCCTCTGTAACACCTGACATGTGCTGAATAAATACTTATTGAGTGACTTACAGAAAAGGAAGATTAAGACTTTTTTTCTGGGTTCTGTGAGATATGCATTATTTGTAAATATGCACATGTAAATTTACCATTATTGCAGGATTTATTGAGTTTAAAATTTTAACTAACATTTAACTTGTCCTTCTGTAATTATGTAACATAATTTTTGTTTGATTTTATTTGTAAGGTACGTCTTATTCAGGTTATGAAGCAGCAGTGTATTCAGCTGCATCTTCCTACTATCAACAGCAGCAGCAGCAACAGAAGCAGGCAGCAGCAGCAGCTGCTGCTGCTGCTGCAACAGCTGCCTGGACAGGGACCACCTTTACTAAAAAAGCACCATTCCAAAATAAACAACTGAAACCAAAACAGCCTCCCAAACCACCCCAGATTCACTATTGTGATGTTTGTAAGATCAGCTGTGCTGGACCACAGGTACTTATGTTGTATGTTAAACCATGAGTCTTCAGTGGTTATTTTTGATAGTTAAGTATGGTTGATATTCTAACTCTTGTGCCTACAAAGAGGTTTACATTTTCTTTCCTATCAGCTTTCGGCTAATGTATATATATTTTGTTAAACACTGATTTTAAAATACTTACATTGAGATAATGAGAATTGTATTCAGGAAAAAAACTAAAAATGATTATGAATGTAAGTGATAAATGGGCAAATTGAGCTTTTTTCAGGAAGGAGACTTTGCTCTTTGAATAAAGCTTAAATTTAGTTAAAAAGTTTTATAATCAAATTATTTGGAATTTGGGAGTAAGATTGAATTTTTGTTTCATTTCTTCTTTATCATCTGTAACTTACTTTGTAAAGCCTTTCTACAAAATTCTCCAACTTAAGATAATTGGTTACTGCTAACCTCTAATTTTCAGGATTGTATTTCTAATGAGACTGACTTTTCTATATGTCTTACAGAATGTCACTTATTTCTGTAACCTCTTCCATGAGGGGAATAGGTACTTTGGGATCAAGAAAGGTGTAAGGAAGTGTCTTTTTCAAAAATATCAACTAATGAAGCATGCAGGACCTTTATTTCTTTTTGATGTTGTTTTGTTCCTGGTTGCTAAACATTAAAATGGATGAATTTGTTTATGAAAGTTAATGGGAAGCTAAACTCCCTTCCCAACCTTATTTGTTATTACTCTAAGAGTGTCTAGTTTTTATATAAAAATTTGGTAAACAGCTTGGCAGATAAAAAGCATGTTATTTGAAAAGATCAGATTTTGACTCTCTAGTAGTTTCTTTAAGATATATCTGTATCTCACCTCTGCCCCACTTCTATACATTCTTTTTAATTTACTGGTTTAGTTCTATTTTTACTACTGAATTTTTAGGGTATTTTTAATTACTAGCATTCCCTGAGTTACACCAAATTAGGGAACATAATATATGTGGCTAAATAAATAAAACTTTCTCTCTCCCTCTTATGAGTATGATAGGAAATGGTTTTATTGTGGATTGCATGGTTGGTGGGGACAGGTGAGGAATGTTTGCAGGGACACAGGGTAAACATGGAAGGGAACAATAATACTGGTCTTAGTATTTGAGGAGTGTTTCTTACTCTTTGTTGACTGTTCAGAGGGGATGATGTCATGAGTGCCAGACACTATCATAAGAGATTTATTGCTATGTGGGTGTCCATATGAAAGGATGGAACATGACACTAGGGTGACAGGTTAACAGCAGCATTTGGAATGAGTATATATGAGGCTGACCATTGATTTGAGGGTGCTGGATGGTTACGGAAGAATAGGCCAAGGGTGCCTTACGGGGTTAATGAGCCTTAGAGAAAAATATCATTGAGATTGTGAGAGACTAGGTGTGGACATAAGGGGAAGTGTAAGTTGATTGATACTTAGGGAGCTAAGATCGAAGTTCTGGCTGTGCCACTGACCATGTGGCCTTGGGCACGTCAGAGACCTTAACTTCTTTGCACTTTTATTTTCTCACTTCTGTGAAATGGACTTTTCCTAAATAGTTGAGGCTCAAACTACTTCATAGAGCTGCTTCAGATAATGAGAGGAGAATCAAATGGCTGGGCCCTAGGTCGTCTTTGTTTCAAAAACAGCAACTTTCCCTAGTGGTCTATAAGATTTCATTTGGAGAAAGGATTCTTATGTTTAAGAATTAGAAAATCATTGTTTTAAATAATCTCCAAAGTCTCATCCAGCTCTGAAATTCTATGATGAATATACAATTTTATGTTAATCATTGTCTCTCTTAAAGATAATTTTAAAAATAAAATATGAAAGAGAAGCCATGTGGCCCCACTAAAAAAACCAAAACAAAATTGCTCAGCTGTTCTTCTCTCATTTTAATTAACTACCTTCCTCAATCATCTTCCTTCAAGGTGATTTTTAATATATACTTTTGCTATTTTGTTGGCTAATATTACGATAATTACTTTTCCCTTGCAAGTATATATAGTTTTGGCTCTTATGTACTTTAAATAAGCTTTTGTTCAGGGTGGCCTGGATTCTAATGTAGATTCTATGTCAAAATGCATTCTGAATTAGAAAAGTCCATTTTATAAATAAACGTACCTGTTCGTAAAGAATCTTTTTAGTATACAGTAACTTTTCTAATAGTGTAAGTACATTCCCCCCATCTAAATCCTGTAATTAAATAATTTGTGGAATGATAACTGTCTTACCATTCTCTGTCCAACATTATACGTAAGCCATAAAAGATACCAGTTCTTGAAATTGAAAGCTATTGCCTTATACTAAATTGTGGCTGTGTATGAAAGTGCTTTTTAACTCAGTGTTATATAAATGTATTCTTGGTAAACAAGGTACAAAGAACCACAGATATATCACATATGTAGGAAATGCTACATGCCCTTTTTCAACTGCTTTTAGAGTTTGTTTTCATTTTTAAAAGAATATTAGAGATTGAGAATTGAATAATCTTTGATGATGTAGAAAGAAAATTAGTGAAGCAAAGGTTGTCCTTTCTTTTTTGAAACAGACTTATAAAGAACATTTAGAAGGACAGAAACATAAAAAAAAAGAAGCTGCACTGAAAGCCTCACAAAATACCAGCAGCAGCAACAACTCTACTCGTGGGACTCAAAATCAGCTACGTTGTGAGCTCTGTGATGTGTCTTGTACAGGAGCAGATGCATATGCTGCCCACATTCGTGGTGCTAAGCATCAGAAAGTAGGTGTTTTTTCCCCACACGCCCTTAAGTCTTAGTCTATTTTATTTTACTTTTTCAACAGGGATTTAAGTAAAGATGGCTTCAGATTTTGAAAACTGTGAGTGCATTATAAGCCACTAGTAATAGTAAAGGTAACACTGATTAGTCATTGCTAAAAGAGTGAAGGACTGGAGACCTTTCTTTGCATTGAACTAAGACATTTATCTCAGTAATTGGAAACTGTCATGTCATTATTTTCCTCCTTTCATCTTAATTATAGACTGTATGCATTTGGCCAAGTCGTTTCATCTTTCTCTGCCTTAGTTTCCTCACCTGGTAGTAGATGGAATATGTACCTGTATCTGCTTCACAGAAATTATCTTGAAAACAATGAGTTTTGTGTATAAAAACATGTAACAGAAAAAATACAACAAAGAAAAATACAGTTTAGAATTTTATTCCATAATATTGTTCCAGACAGACTTCAAAATCTATGCTTTTGAGTTTCCTGACAAATGTGCTTTTGTTTTATAGGTGGTTAAATTACACACAAAACTTGGTAAACCTATTCCTTCAACAGAACCAAACGTTGTTAGCCAAGCTACATCTTCAACAGCTGTATCTGCTTCAAAACCAACTGCCTCTCCTTCAAGCATTGCAGCAAGCAATTGTACTGTGAATACTTCATCAATTGCAACTTCTTCAGTAAAGGGTCTCACGACTACAGGAAACTCGTCTCTTAATAGCACATCTAACACTAAAGTATCAGCAGTGCCTACAAATATGGCTGCCAAGAAAACATCTACCCCCAAAATAAACTTTGTCGGCAAGTACTGTATATTCTCTGTGTTCCTCCTAACTCTGTTGAAGTGGTGTTTCTCCTCTATTGCAGCACTACTCTTTCTGTTTATGCTCTTAGTCCCATCTTCTCCCTTTTCTCTGGGGCCTTACTCCTTCACACATCTGCCTGTTGTGTGGGCTTTTTTTTTTTTGATTTTTAGTCTGTCCTCTATTGGTTTCTTCCCTTCAGCCATACAGATATACCTGTCTCTTCCCTGGTCATTAAAAAACATACACACAGAGACTGTTTCTCATTTCTGTAGTCTCAAGCTACAAGACTTAACCTAAGTCTTTCTCTGCTTCTGTACTTCCTACCCAATCCTCAGTCTCCTATGCTATTTCCACTCTACCCTTTTCTGAAACTCTTTTCACTACTCACCGAAGATTTGATTGCCAAATCCAGTGGCCAGTTTTCAGTTTCATCCTATTGACTTCCCTAATATTTGACACAATTGACTGCTGTGCCTTAAAGCTTAATATATATTTCTCTCTCGAGTGTATGTCCCTGTCCCTTTTTCAGTTGTCTTCATTGGTTCTGCTGCCTACATGTTCATTAAACGGTAGTGTTACTAAAATTCTAACCCTGACATTCATCTTACTCTACTCCAGTCTTCATGGATGGTCTCATTCGTTCCTATGTGTAAAGTGACTTTAAAATCTTATTAGCAAGTTCAAAACTCCCACTGAGTTGGAGTGCCATGTTTTAGGTATGCTCTGGTCATCCTGTATACGTCTGTGTAGATGCCTTCCCATGTGTCCCTTTCTAACACATTAATTCATCACAATAGTACCATGAAATAATCTCATAAAATTGCAGATTTCGCAAATGGAAAACTTCACTAACATTATTTCTTATTATTTATTGTCTCCTCCAGCTGTTTACCTAGTCTTTTTGTTTCTATCTCTACAGTATTTCTACAAAAAATATTTTTTCTTCTTTATTACTGTTGCCTTTTTAGGCCTACAAAGTCTCTTCCTTAGAGCTTTGTCTCTTACTGCAACCAGTCTCTTCAACACACTCTTCAAACTTAACTTCCATGAGTCATTTTATTAAAATACCTATAAAATTGTCTAGTCTTCTCCTTAAAAATCTTCCGTGGTCTTCCCCTTGCAATAGGATAAAGTCTATATTCCTTAATTATGTCATAAAAGCCCTTCGTAATCTGGCCTCTTCCTACCTTTCCAGCCTCATATCTTAACACTTTTTCCAGGTAGTATTTCATCTCGAATTACTGACTCTTCCTTGAATTTATCATAGTCTTTTTAATGCATTGATGCAGTGCTTTTATTTACATGCCTTTTTCTGTTCCGATATCATTCTCTTCTTTCTTCCTGACTAGTTCATATTCGTTCTTCTTTCAAATCCCAGTTGAAGTCACACCCTTTCTTAACTGGAAAGAGTATAGTGGCTCCATTCCTTTACATTTCTACAATATCCAGTTCATACTTATTACAGCATGTGTCACATTATAATTATTTCTTTCTTCCCTTAAAGTGTGGGCACCTCAAAGGCAGCTACACTGTCTTATTCTTACTCTATTACTAGAACTTATGACAGCATCAAGACTGTTGTAGATACTTAAAAATGATTTTTAAAGAAAGGTTTAAAAGCAGAAAATTCACAATTAATATGGTACTCTTTTGGACAGTTATTTAAAGTAAGTTTAATAGATGATTAAAATGAAATCTATCATTTACAGTTCTACTTCAGTTTTTGAGGTTATTTATAATTCAGTTCAGAACAACAAAAAAAATGTTTTGTATTATAAATAATTCTTGATGTAAGTTGATATCTGATGTTAGCAGATAGTAAGTTGAAGGAAATAAGCAGTGATAAAATCTAAACTGGTTCTCTTTCCTTCTTAGTGGAAAGAGAACTTTAGTGGAAAACTTTATTTGAATTACATTTTCAGAGAAAACTAATCATTGAACTTACCTTTTTTTTAAAGGAATAAATACTATTCATTTGTTTAGCGATTTGCCAAGGAACTAGGATACAAACATGAGTTAGGCTTAGTCTCTAACAGTTCAGATATTTGCCGTTCACTTTTAGTGTATGGGGAGTTATGGAGTCATGTCATTGGACGTTCAGAGATGGAGAAGGAAAAAATTCAGAAATGTATTTCATTAATAGGATAAAAACAACTGGTTTGTGTGGTTTTTCAAAATTCTTATCTATTGTATGTCAAACAGTAGTTTGGCTATTGGTAGAAAAGATAAGAACTTTATCTAAGGTTTTCATTGTATCAGGTTTATATAATTATGTAAAAATAAAATTACTGTAATTTTTTTTGCTTTTCTAGGTGGTAATAAGCTGCAGTCAACAGGAAATAAATCAGACGACTTAAAAGGAACTGAATGTGTTAAAAGCACTCCTGTCACTTCTGCCGTCCAAATTCCAGAAGTAAAGCCAGATACAGTATCAGAACCAGTCACACCTGCGTCTCTTGCTGCTTTGCAGAGTGATGTGCAGCCAGTGGGCCATGATTATGTGGAGGAGGTAATCTGTTTGAAAATTTCCATTGCTGCGAAATTAGATAAAGGAAAAAGTGTCACTTTGTTGCAGGCATGCTTTACATGTAAGATTAAATTATACTTAATTAGATTTGGGTTGCTTACGAAAGATGTCAAAGGAATCTTTGTTATATAAAAGATGCCCTTTAAGCTTGCCCAAGTGACATCACAATTTTTTTTTTATTAATTTTCATATATCCATTTCCTTGTTAACAATGTCACTGCAGTGTAAAGTAACTTTCCGTTTATTGGTGGACATTCTCATACTCTTCAATTATCATAAAACAAAATGTTTAAAAATTGTGAGCAGCAAAAATGTTGATGGAGAGAGCCAGTATTTCCCTTTTTGAACAATCACTTAGTTTGCTGTGTAAAATTTTAGTTGCCAACTTAACAGAACCAGTTTATTTGGTTTCTCAGGCTGATTATAAAACTATTCCTATTTTACAGGTAAACTCAGTAAAATGGAGGAGTGAGGGGACCTCAGAGAGGCTTGAGTAAATATTTTCTGTTAGCAGAAAGACCATACAGTGGTGTAATACTGTTTACTTTCACTTTATTATAGACCATGTGTAGGTTTTCTGAGCTTCAATGTCTACATCTATAAAATTGGGATTTTCCCCAACAAAATTGTGAAGATTAAATGAACTAAAGTACCTAGCACAGTGTCTAGCATATATAGTAGGTTTTGGGTAAATACTTGATCTTTCATCCATTTTCCTATCAAGGAAAATTACATATTATGTTGAGTTCTTTGTTAATAAGGTGGACAACTGAGTTATTTAATTTGCAAGTAGTTCACAGACAACTCTGACTTGAAGTGTTATCTCATACAAGAGGAAGATTTGGCTGTCTGAAAAAATATCCTTGGCCAAAACACCGTAAAGTCAGGTGATGCTGGTTAATTAATCCTAAACTTGAGAGAATTACATTCAGAGCCAGCATTAAAACTTACACGCTTTGAACTTAGTGTCCATTATAGACTTCATAGTAACATTTCAGTCTATTTGTTCTCCTGATTGTGCAGTTAGAAAAAATTCATCTTGATTTTCCATAATGTTACATATATAAAATGTTAAGCTTTGAGAAGTTTGTATACCAAAATAATGCTGTTAGTCATCTTTATCTCCATCTCCAAGAACAATACTTGGCCAGTAGCAGGTATTCAGTAACTATTTACTAAAGAATTTAAAGCATCAAGCTGCATTTAAATTTAAATGTTTACATATAGGCAAGAGTATTAAAATGGAAGATAATTACAAAAGCAAATATATGCTAACACATCTTGCACAGTACAGTTAAAAATTACAGGGCTCAGTGGCTCACACCTATAATCTCAGCTAGTCGGGAGGCTGAGGCAGGAGGATCGCTTGAGCCCTGGAGTTCAAGACCAACCTGGGCAATAAAGCGAGACCCCATCTCTACAAAAAAAAGTTTTAATTAGCTGACTGTGATGGCTGTGCCTGTAGTCCCAGCTACTGGAGAGGCTAAGCTGGGGCATCATTTGAGCCCAGGAGCTGGAGGATGCAATAAGCTATCATCCCACCATTGCATTCCAGCCTGGGCAACAGAGCAAGACCACATGTCTTTAAAAAATTTGAAAAAAATAAGAATCCAACTTTTAGTTTCTTTTGCAGTTTCTGAACTTTTTAAAAATTAGACACATTGCCACTTTTTTTCCCCTCAAATCAGATTCTAATTGTTGACACCTTTATCAAAAAATATGTGAGGGTTTATGAATGAAATCTTCAACTATTAAAACATTTCTGTTAAGATTCTTAAATTTGTTTTCTACACCAAGGTACGAAATGATGAAGGAAAAGTAATTCGCTTCCATTGTAAATTATGTGAGTGCAGCTTTAATGATCCCAATGCTAAGGAGATGCACTTAAAAGGGCGAAGACACAGACTTCAATATAAAGTGAGTATAATTTCAACCATTACCTTTTTTCTTTAACAATTTGGAACATTCTTTATGTAAAACAAAGCATCTAAACACAATTTACCCAGTCCATGAATTCCCATTCTGAGATTAGCATGTCATGTTGATAGACTCATTTAGATAGACTCAAATGTTTACATTTTATTTATCATTATTTTATTTATTATTGTTAAATTTAAGAACAACATGACCATGTTCTCATCAGTTTTAGTAACTGGCAAAATAAAACTGAAACATTGTTTGGATCAAATAATTGTGTAAAGATAATTGCTTCACATAGAGTATTTGAAAAAAGTATTGAGTCTCTACCTACCTGCTTTATTTTGGTAGATTATCCACAAAAATGAATTTTGTGATGAGTTGATATGTTGGAAAATCCCTTCATTTATCTTACCTTAGGAATTCTTTATTGAATACACTTCAAGTAGTAAGATAAATTCAAATATTCTATTTAAAGTTTTTAACTAGGCTGGACTAATGCCCTAGATGCATGTTTTCTCTTTTAAACACAGATGTGATGAAAATCAATAAAAAGCAGTGTTAAAGGATAGTACTTATGTATGAAAAGAAACTTTTTAACCATGACACGGACATTTAGAATCATCTGATTTATAAACAAGTACAATTGATCCTTGAACATGAATGTGGTTGTTAGGGACACTGACCGACCACCACCATGCGATTCCCCAAAAACTAAACTACTAATAGCCTAGTGTAGACCAGAAGCCTTACCAATAACATAAACAGTCTTAGTACATAGTTGGTATGTTATATGTATTATGGACTGTATTCTTACAATAAAGTAAGCTAGAGAAAAAAATGTTATTAAGAAAATCATAGGGAAGACAAAATATATTTAGTATTTGTTAAGTGGAAGTAGATGATCATAAAGGACTTCATCCTTATCATCTTAACATTGAGTAGGAGGAAGAAGAGGAGGGGTTAGGGTAGCTGAAGCAGAAGAAAATGTGCAGTATATAAGTGGACCTGTGTAATTCAAACCCATGTTGTTCTGGGTCAACTATAAAACAAGATTAAATACCTGTCAGTCTCCCTAAAGATTTCATATGACTTTCTGTTGGTCAGTACTAAGTTACATACTTTTTACACACTAAGTATGTAATTTTAAACTTTATTAATTAAAAATTTTTGTTAATGTATTCTGAATCTTTTCTCTGATTCAACTTAATTATACCGATTTTACTCTATAATAGAAAGTTTGCAACTAAAAGCCTCTATGATGAGGGAATATGTGGAATTGTATGATTAAAAATACATGTAGATTGTTGGGGCTGCTATTTTTTTTAAATGTCTTATTATATTAACAGAAAAAAGTAAATCCAGATTTGCAAGTAGAAGTAAAGCCTAGTATTCGAGCAAGAAAAATTCAAGAAGAGAAAATGAGGAAGCAAATGCAGAAGGAGGAGTACTGGCGAAGACGAGAGGAAGAGGAACGCTGGAGAATGGAAATGAGGTAATATCTTTAACTTTTAGTAGCATGAAAATAAGTGGTTCAGCCTTTCTAAAAAACTTAGCTGCTCTGGATGTGTGACTCCCATTCAGAGCCATCCAGATTTATTTAATGTACTTTCAGTTTTCACTTTTCAGGAAGATCCTAGGTCTAGGGAAGACATGCATTAAAATTAAGTTATTGGCTACACTAGTATTTGACCGTGGCCTTAGTATTAGGAATTATGTGGTAAGTGGTATCTTATATATATTAAATATATGAAATAATAATTTAATATTATAAATAAGTCCCTAAGTTTAAAACAAGCGAAATGGATCTTACAGTTACCTATAATGTGTTGTTTTAAAAAAAGGACTTCCATTAAACTTTAGGGGGCTATAAGGAAGGAAAGCTGAGAAAACATCTTTCAGAGATTGATTTTTATGTATAAAAACATAAAAAGTTATGTTAAGATATAATTCATATCTTTAAATTGTGAAATTCACTGGTTTTCAGTATATTCACAGAGTTTTACAACAAACAACACAATCAATTTAGGATATTTTTATTACCCTAAAAGAAACTATGAACCCAATAACAGTCACTTCCTATTTGCCCCTCTTACCCTGTACCTCTCCTCCCCAACCCTAGACAACCACTAGTCTACTTTCTGTCTCTATGAATTTGCCTATTCTAAAGATTCTGTATAAATAGAGTCATACAATATATGGTCTTTTGTGTCTGGCTTTCACTTAGCGTAATGTGGTTTCTTTCAATTTAGCATAATGTTTTCATGGTTCATCCATGTTGTAGCATGTATTAGTATTTTGTTTTCTTCTTATGGCTGAATAATACTTTATTTTATGGATATACTACATTTTGTGTATTCATCAGTTGGTGGACATCTCAGTTGTTTCCATGTTTTAACTGTTACAAATACTATTGCTCTGATATTTTTGTGTAAGTTTTAAAATGATAATTTTTAAAAACAAAAAATCTACTCCACAAATAGAGTAGAGGCAAGTTCTCCTTGGGAAAGAGGACCATCCTTAAAATATAATTTTAAAAAATTATAGTTTTAAAATTTTTTATATTTTTTAAAAACTTATTTTTATAATTTTTATAGTTAGGAACAGAAGCATACTATATACATATAACCTGTTTTTTCATTTACATATCTTCAAATTTTTTAAAAAATTAATTAGGATTATTTTATCTTTTCATGGCAACATAGTATTCTTTTGTACAGATGTAAAATTTTCTTTGTAACCAGTCCCTTACTTTTAGACATTTAGGTTGTTTCCATTTCACTATTAGAATTATTAATGCATTGACCCTTCTTGAAGCTGTATTATTGCATATACAGTGATTAGTTGCTAATAATAAAGTCCTAGAAATGGAAATGTTTGATTGAAGGATACTTATGTCTCTGCGTGTACTAGATAGTATAACCTCAATGGTTCTCAAACTTTTTGATCTCAGGATCCTCTATACTCGATTATCATTAAGGACTCCAAAGAGCTTTTGTTCATGTGGGTTATATTTGTCAAGATTTATTATATGATAAATTAAAATAGAAATTTAAGTAATTTTTAATTCATTTTAAAATGACATTTTTCAGTTTTTTGAAAGATAGTTAAATGTATACTTATAATATCAGATTAAATATATTTAATATAATGTAGAAAACTATAACCATATTTCTTTCCTAGAATAAGTGGAAAAGTTATGCTGCTTTGCATTTTTGCATATCTCTAATATCTGGCTTAAGAGAAGGCAGCAAGATTCTCATATTTGCTTTTGCATTCATGTGTTGTGATACCACATTTTGCCTCTGGATAATTCCACTGTACACTTCTAAGAGAATGAGAATGGAAAAGGCAAATAAATTTCTTAGTATTGTGAAAATAATTTTGACCTCATGGATCCCCTGAAGGGGTCTCAGGGGTCTTTGGACCACGCTTTGAGAAACCTTGCTATAACTTAATAAAATTTCTACCAATGAGATATGAAATGTGGTAGCCATTTTTTGTTTCCATTTGAATTGTTTTCATAGTTGGCTATTTATATTTTTTCTGTGGTAAATTGCTTATTCTTTCAGTTTTTACTTTCCTATTGATTGGTACAGACCGTTCTTATGTTGTATTAATAGTTATCAACCCTTCGTTTTGTGTTACCTTCAAATAGTTTTTGCTATTACGTATTAGTTTTTACATATGTATTGTATGTATGAATTTTGGCCTTTATGATGTGTCTGCCTTTGTGATACATTGGAAATTTTTCTCTGTACCTAGATCGTACAGTTATTTCATTTTCACTGATATATCAAATATTTATTAAGCACCTATGATGTGCCACGAACTGTATTAGGGTACTGAACATGACGTAGTAAACAATAAATAAAAGTTCCTGCCCTCATTTAACTTAAATATCTTTAGCAATAACAGTAAACTATCTGAAACTGGAATGGACATGATTTTCTAGAACCTTTAAGCTGTCTTTATTTTTTCTCAAAACCTCAATAACAAGAAAGTATGGTTCTATCAGTCCTCAGTTGGATGATCTAAAAAAAATATTGCTTATTCTCAACCTGAGGAAATTGGTAGCTTCTGCTTTGGTAGTCAGGAAGCACACTTTTTTCTTATTTTATTTTAAATGGATTTCTGTAATAAAACCTTACTGCTACCAAAATTTCCTTTAGACACAGTGTCCCTTGAAAGTTTTTGGTATCCCAGTTCAAAGCTGAGAGTGAGGATAGAACTGAAAGGTCAGAGCATAAAAAAGAAATTATCATAGATTCTGAAAATGTTGACCAGTAAAGCAGAGGCTACCTATTAGCTGTCCACATTTCAAATTCAACTCCCAGGTGTTATATTTGGTATACGCAGTATTTTGTAATCTGAACCTGCAACCCTGAGGTTTCACAAAAATCCTGATGACACCTTAGCAATACAGTGTGTATAGTAGCCTACTCTTATCCAAGGGAGATATGTTCCAAAACCCCCAGTGGATGCCTGGAATTGAGGGTAGTACTGAAGCCTGTGTATGCTGGTTTTTGATCTGTTAACAAAGATGGCTACAAACTAACTAACGGACAGGTAGAGCTAAACTGCGTTCACATATGCTGGACAAAGGGATGAATTGAGTCCCAGGTGGGATGAAGCTGGACTGCTAGAGATTTTGTCACACTACTCAAAACAGCATGCAGTTTAAAACTTATGAATTTTTTATTTCTGAAATTTTCCATTTAATATTTACATACCATGGTTGACTGGGGGTAACTTAAACTATGGAAAACAAAACTCCAGGTAAGGGACTACTATTCCCTTAGGACAGCAGTTAATAGGAACTGAGTTGCAGCTGTTGTGTCTAGCCAGGACAAGTACTTTTCCTTTATCATTGTCCCAGTCACCCTTAATATGTCTCCAACAATGAGACTGTGAATTGCCATTTATCACTGTCTCGTACCGTTGTTTCTCTTCCTTGAAGAGAAATATCTTTGTTTCTGCCTGTATTAAAAAATGGGGAGATGGTAGTTCAAGAGGTTCTCGCTAAGGAAAAAACAGGAGAGAGCACATTTCTTTGAGGACATGAGGAAAATTCCTAGATGTGTCCTATGTTCACTTTGCGTCTTTCACTCATGCATATTAGTCTGGCCCCTTTAGGTGGCATTTGGATTTATAATCCCTACCTTAACCCGGGAAAGGCTGGAAAGAGCTCTTGAGGTTTCTGGTGTCTGTTCTGTCTACTTTGTCCTCAGGCTGTGAAATTTTCTTCTGCTTTCTCTTTGTTCTCTCATGTTCTCTTTTCACTTCCATTTATTTCCATTTACTTCTCAATGAAAGCAAATAAGGAAAATCAGGTATGGGTGGGAAGAAAAAAGTTTTAGTTAGGCTTATTCAAGTTGGGGATTTTTTAAATTATTTTTTATGTCATTATTGATGAAAATTCTTGGGTTGTGTTTTTCCTCATAAGTTTATAATACTGTTTATTTATGTTTCAGACGTTACGAAGAGGACATGTACTGGAGGAGAATGGAAGAGGAACAACATCATTGGGATGATCGCCGCCGAATGCCCGATGGAGGCTATCCTCATGGTCCTCCAGGCCCACTGGGCCTTCTGGGAGTCCGACCAGGCATGCCTCCTCAGCCACAGGGACCTGCAGTGGGTGTCTTTGTTGTTGCTATAAAGGGTGAAAATTTAAGACTGGTTCGGCATTAGCAGAAAACAGTTTGAGGGGCTAATTTTAGGCTTAATCTTGTAATCTTGATTTAAGTTTTTCATCTGGTTTAGAATTTTCCCTCCATTTATTATAGGTTTTCAACTCCAGTGTCTTATGTTATAAGAACTTCATAGAGTTTCTATGAATCTTTCTTATTTTCAGTATATGCTGAATGGAAGCAGAGCTTCTTTTGCCAACTCTTCTTTCATGTAAGAGACTGTTGCCTTTGTTTTCCCTACATTAACAAGAACACCTGATTTTGAAGGCAACTGCTTTGTTTTCAAATTTATTTTTACCTTCCCATTACCAAGAATCTTTCTTCCTTCTTCAAATTCTGACCATCTAAAACCTACTTTTTCTTCTAAATCAAATGAAAGATAAAGGGTAGAGAAATAGTTCAAGATAAACATGAAAGTTGATGTGTTATGTATGAAGACTATAGGAAAGAAAGATCTGCATCTTGAGAATTTGTGTTCTGTGGAAGCTGGGTGAAAGCGATGTTTCATATAAGTTCAGACTACTAAAAATAAGCTTTGTATTTTCTAGGGAGCAGTTAAAAGAAAATAGCAAACTTCTTTTCTTTAACCTATTCTCTTATGTATCTTTGCACAGAGCCTTGGCAGTTACAAAACTTGAATTATTGAAAGCAAAGAAAGTTTCAGAATCACTGGTTTTTTAAGTTTAATAAAAAGCATTTTCATAGCGTTAGGTTATATGTGTATATAGTCTTGATGGTACAACTTTCCATAATTTACATTTTCATTCTTACTGAAATGGAAAAAAGGAGAAGACAGTTTTAAGTGGGCATTTTGCATAATTTACTCTTATTGAAAAGATATGACAAATACATGTATAGTTGGAAAATACTAGTTTAGTTGTGCTCAGGAAACAATTTTTTTAAATGCAATACCTATGTTTTTGTCTCTAGCCCTTACGTCGTCCTGACTCATCTGATGACCGTTACGTAATGACAAAACATGCAACCATTTATCCAACTGAAGAGGAGTTACAAGCAGTTCAGAAAATTGTTTCTATCACTGAACGTGCTTTAAAACTTGTTTCAGACAGTTTGTCTGAACACGAGAAGAGTAAGAGCAAAGACGGAGATGATAAGAAGGAGGGAGGTAAAGACAGGTGTGTTTTCAAACTTATTGACCTTGTGTATGTTTGCCTTTCCTTACATGGACTTCTTACATTTGAAATAAAGATTGCAGAGTGATAACTCCGTGAATCTACGTATCTTAACTATGCCTTTGTTAGATATTTAATATATTCCGGTGCTTTTTGCTAAAATGAGAAATATGAAATTCCACTGACATAAACAGTCTCTAACCTTATGATTTTACTCATTTTATATAAATTTATATAAAATGATTTTGAGTCTGTTTCAGAGCAGCCCTTAATAGTTTTCCAGTTGCATTCAGCTGCTGTTTTTCTATCCTTATTTGTTTGTTGCATCTGTCCCACATTCAGTCTTTATTAATAATAACTATTTCCTTAAAGCACCGACCATAAAGCATGGATAAGTCCAAACTGTAGCAACGTCTTCGTAACAAGTTTGCATTGTGAGCTGTAACTTTTCATTTTCCTTTTACCATTTGTAATTTTTTTTTTTTAAGAGATGGGTTTCACTTTGCTACCTTGGCTGGAGTGTAGTGGTACAATCACAGTTCACTGCAGCCTCTAACTCCTCTGCTCAAGCCATCCTCCCTCCTCAGCCTCCTGAATGGCTGATATTACAGGCATGAGCCACTGCACTCAGCTTGGAAATATTTTTGTATTATATTAAACATGACTGTTATTATTCTAACTTGTGAAATAAGAAAGAGAAGTGTTAAATGACCTTTGCTTTGCAGTTGTCCTTGTGAGAACTTGGCTCTTGATTTATCTTTTTTATCCATATTGCTTATCTAGATGAAGTATAGTTCAAAAAATACTGGATGTTTTTCTACCATGGTTGATGAAAATTTTGATGGTTATTAAAAGGTTATTTCATTTACTATTTTGTGTTTAGATAATATGGTTCTTGTGGAGAAGAGAAATGTTATATTGTAATATAATTTGATTTCACTGCAGAGCTTTGAAAGGAGTTTTGCGAGTGGGAGTATTGGCAAAAGGATTACTTCTCCGAGGAGATAGAAATGTCAACCTTGTTTTGCTGTGCTCGGAGAAACCGTCAAAGACGTTATTAAGCCGTATTGCAGAAAACCTACCCAAACAGCTTGCTGTAAGTATTATAGAAATGTTAATTTTTACCCCTTGTCTGGTTCAGAAGTTTTTGGCAGGACTAACTGTGCTTCAGTTTAAACCTAAGCCAGCCTTTAAAATTTTGGCTTGACTTTCCATATTGAGTTTTTTGCTTCATTGTGCAAACTGGTGAAACTATTTTCTGTCTTTTTAGGTTTTATAGTACTTGTGTTTGGCATGAAATCATCTTACTAATTTATTTAAAAATGTAAAATTACAGCATATCCCCTCCTTTTCTTGTTCTTTTTCCAAGACTTGAATCATAAGGCAGTTGTTTGGGAAAAAGTGATTTTTTAAAAAACAAATTCCATATATATAGCAAGCTTAAATGTTTTAAATTCATGAACCTCTTGCCTATTTAGTTGAATACATGTTTTTAATAAAATACAGCAACTAAAATAGTCTTCCTAATTTTAATTTCTCCAGTTTTATTATGAATATTTTTAGTTTTCTACATGTTTATAATGGTAGACAGTACTTCTCTTGTTTCTGTCCTGCAGATCATGGCAGTGCACAATTTTAATAGAACATTCCCTTTGGGTCCTATTAAAAATAAACTTTTTTTTTTTTTTGATCTTGAATTTTAGAAAATTTTACATGTTAGCTTGTCAAAATGAGATTTAAAGTAGTGATTCCTTGACTGATTTAAGGTATAAAGCTTATTTCAAAACCTTGCAGTTTAATTCAGCATTCTAAATTCTCAAGGCTTGAGATTTCATTGGTAATGTATATTCTACAGTAGTGAGGCAGAATGGTACCTGACCACAAGAGAACAACTGATAAGAAAAGGGACAGTGAAGCACACTATTTAATTTAATCTCTGACAACTCTGGCACTTACTGTTGTTTATTTTCTATTACCGTTATTCCAGACATGAAGTTTCTTATTGTGGGTGAGTCTTTTTAATTATTAGGAGCCAGCAGAATTGGCATTGTGTGTCTGTTTCTGACCCCTCTACTAAGGCTGCTAGGGCAATGAAGGGGGAAAAGAAAAGGTTTGGGAACCTTGGAAGAATTGTGGAATTTGGAAGAAACATCTTGATTCTAATTGTGGTGCTTAGTAAAACTACAAAGCAGGAAATAGATCCTAACTAAATAATTAACAATTAACCAGTTAAGCTAAAAGCAGAATACTCTTTCCAAATCCACTTGTATAAATTGATAAGCAAGTGAAATAAAATTAATTCATAGTTAACATTCACATAATACTGTATTAAGTGCTTTATATAGTTGATTCATTTAATCCCCCAGTGACCCTGTAAATTAGATACAATTATTGTCTGTGTTTTACAGAAGCAGTTGCAGTGTAGTCAGATAATTTGCCCATCTTCATCTCACTAGTAAAGTAGTAGAGCTAGGATTTGAACCTAGGTACTACACTATGAACACTCCATGTAAATTCTGTAGTGTCTTTGTTTATATAAATGGGGACTTACTACATGTCTACAAAATTGCAGTGAATCCTGGTTTTTCTGGATATTGACTGGGAGTTTCTGCTCCCTGATGAAACGTAGATCTGTCAATTTCACCGAGAATATACAATGGGAAGGTTAAATTGAATTAGGTTTAGGTGTCAATTTTAGTTTCATTCATGTTCTGCAAATGTGATAAATATGGCACTGTTTCTTTTATCCAGAAATTCATCATCTAAGAAAGAGCCATAATGAAACTGCTTTTGTCTGTTAATGCAACAGATCCAATTAATTTCTTATAATCTTCATTACACAGGTTATAAGCCCTGAGAAGTATGACATAAAATGTGCCGTATCTGAAGCGGCAATAATTTTGAATTCGTGTGTGGAACCCAAAATGCAAGTCACTATTACCCTGACGTCTCCAATTATTCGAGAAGAGAACATGAGGGAAGGAGGTTGGAAAGCCATTAAACATTCTACTTTTCTATTAACTATTTTTTTCATTTACCTACTCTTTAAGATGGCATTACGCCCTAGAAGGCAACATGCTGGCATTACATGTGAATTTGAGAGATTTGACTTATTTAGCAACCAGTTTTGCTTAAGATCATTTCCCACAAAGTAAATGCTCTTTTTAGTGATGGATTTTTATATAAAACACTTGTAGTATAATTGATTTTCTTGATTTTTTTTTTTTTCTTGCTAACCTCAGATTTCTGGAAAAAAATACTTCAAAATTATTTTTACTGACATAGTTGATGCATGAAAAAAATTTAAAATGTTGCTAGTAATTAGGGGCCACAACTTTAACTTCTATTAAGAAGCTTGCTCTTGCCTTGTCTTACAAAAAAGACAAGAGTGTTTAACGAAAAAAAATTGGCTAAATAGTCATAACATCTATGTTTTTAAGAGGCATTTTTATATGTGTAATCATGGATTGGCTCATCCTGAGGTAAATATTTCTAGTTCTCTGAGGTTGCTCTTTGATTTGATGCGCTTTCATAAATGCAGAGCATTCTAATGCACGCAGATTTGGGCATTTGACCCTTATACTAGAGATATTGAAAAATAGTGTAGATGTAGCTAACGAGTTACAGTACAATTCAGGGTTTTTAAACGTAATATAGTTGTAGAATATGAAATTTTGCTGGTGCCAGCAATGTTGCTTTAGGGACTGTTCTGTAACATTTTCAAAGCATCAAAAGCTTTTAAGCCAAAAAGCATGATCAGTGTCTGCAGTATGTTGGTTTTGTTGTTTTATGGGTCAGATAAAATTTGCTTTGTTTCCTTTCATGTTGTTTTTAAACATCTTCATGTGTTGAGTATGGAGTTATAGGGTACATTAGTATTTCTTTGAGATACAGGCTGAAGAGGAGAGAGTACTATATATTGAATATTAAAATTCATTTGTATAAAATAGCATCCATAGGCTCTCAATTACTGTCTCTTTAAATTTGTTTTCTTACAGCAAAGCAATTTTTTTTAAGGCACTGGGCTTTTCACAACCCAGGAAAAGAACATTTTACAAAAAATGTCATTGGGAGATAAGTCTAATTTTGCATACTTTGTACATACACCATATTAGGATTCATATGCTATATCTTAAGCTTTGCATCTTAAAAATAAATGAGTTTTATGTAAAAGGTTTTTATGTGAACATGAGTTTCCACTCAAGGTCTGGCCATGGGTGTTGCTGGAGAAAGTTCCTGAGTCAGTCTGGTCAGGTCATGTACAGCATATGACTCAGGATTTGAAAAAAATCTTCTAATATATATTATAAATAAATATTGCTACACTTAGTGTGAAATTATAGTCATTTAACCATTTAACTCTATTGCAGAATACATGTTCAGTTATATTTAGGCTTAATTTGTGTGGTATCAAGCAATTTTATCATGTTGCAAAAGTCTAAAGTTAATAGTATCGTATTTGCAATAAATTCTTTGGTAACCTGTCCCTTCTAAAGGAAACAAAATTATATTTTTGTCTGACCCAGACTTGAGTTAGAATTATCATTCTGAATTTCATAAATATTATGGCGAGGGAAATGGTCAGTCCAAAATTGAAAGATTTTGCTTCAAGACACTGAGCTGAAAAAGTTGGATGTGCAAAAGTATAGAAACATTGATAGAGTGAGTGTTCCTTGCTGCAGATAACTGCAGTAAACCATGTCTTTAGCTGCATTATGAAGATTGCTTCTTTCTTGCTGCAGAATAACGGTATGTATTCTCTCTCACTGCAGCTCCCAATGCTCTGTGTCTTAAAATCATTTAAAGCCTATAGCTTGCTTTGGGGAGTTAGTACAGGGGTTAAGGAAGGCTTTGCCGGAAAAACAATTGTAAGTCATAAGACTTTCTACTTGTGCGTTGTTCGGTAGCCTCTTTAATGCATAATGATCCTGTTAAATAACCAAAAATTATTTTTTAAAGGAAATGATTAAATTGTCCAAATAACTGTTAAACACGTGACAGATCTATTTTATGGTACTGTGTTTGACAGTTAAACATTAAGTAAACGTTTAATTGACTTTAAGCTCGAAATGTTCAAAATGTTCTAACCCTTGCTACAGAGTTTTCTGCAGCAAGTCAAGTATCATAATGTGTTTTTTTCCACCTGTAGCTTATCAGGCCCGGTCCAAAGCCTTCTAGCAGAGGGGATTGATTCCTGTCAGGGGTTGCTGCCAAGACATCGGAAGGATTTTTGACCAGGGTTTTCAAAAGCTTAGTGTCACATCTGCCATTTGATTTAGGAGAGATTTTGGATGCAGAGCCTGGCATTTATTGTTCTTTGTGTGGCTGTTTTGTTTGTTTTGTCTTTGTCTCTTCTAGAATTGAGCAGTGTTCACACTAGTTTTTAAATGGTTGAGTGGATTATATATTTTATATGACCATGTTAATTTAAATTAATATATTCCCATTAACTTTTAATCATAAAATAGTGTGGACACAGCATGTCTTCTAATTGGTGATTAACCCCTTAAAATTTATGAAATACATTCATGTAGGATAAGAATTTGCATTTTGTTTTTATAAATTAACTGATTTTTGCTTTGTTTTGTTAACTGGGTGTTAGGCGACAAGTATGATTTTAGCAGAATATATCTAAGGGGTTAATCTACTTGAAACAGAAAATGGGTGCAAAAATCCACACTCTAAATTTAACAAAAATGTCCTGCTTACAGCTCTAATTTGTTTTTAAATTGCAATAGGTGTCTTGGCATCTTTGAATTTGCACCATTGATTAAAATTTTCAACGTTACGAATGCTTGTGTGCAAAAAGAAAAATTTTCTTACATATAGAGGGAAATTATAAAATTGTGAATTAACATTAGAAATTTAGAAAGAGATTGCACATTGTCACCTATTTGCATTCTAGCATTAGCAAATAATGTAAGTGTTAATAAATAAGGGACATGGAAAGCGGTCCTTTAGCATGTTCTGTAACCCTGCTTTGGGGAGTGTTTTGGGGTTTTTTTTGTTTTTTTGGTATTTCTTTTTTCTTTCTTTTTTTTTTTCTTCATTTTTTTTTTAAACTTCTTAGTTAGCTGTGCTTTTCTGGGTTCCTTTTCCTTATCTCAGAACAGTTTATTTCTTATGTTCAGGTTATTTCTAGGTTCAATAGTCTTACAGGTTTTGAGATTATTACTAATATTTTTATCTTGATAATTTCTTTTTAGCATCAAATACCTCTTTTAGTGTTTATTCTCAAAATGCCACATAATTTTCCTTGATTATCTGTGTCTTGCTTCTAGTATGTCTTCTGAAAAATCTGTATCCATCTAATTACTTGAGAAGTAAGAACTGACACCAGAAAGTTCAGACAGGGAATGAAATTCTCAGTTTTTATATGTTATCTACTCAAGCACAAGTTATCTTTTAAGATTTCTGAATGCTCATAATGAGATATATAATCAAGTGCCCAGAGTTGCAGCTATAATAGTACTTTTAAAATAATCTTTAACTTTTTCTTAATTTTACCATGTATTTCTTCTTTGTCCCTCATATACATTTGATGTACTCAGTGAACTATTAAATTATATCCTAAACGCCAATGATTTCGGTGCTCTTTAGCCAAAGGATTATTATATTCAATAGATTACATAATTTTTCTGTAGTTAGAAAATATTTATACTATTAAAAGCACTGAGAGCTGTGAATTAGGTTGAATTGCTGTTTGTTACCAGTTTGCTTAGCAAATTTGCTGTTATTATACACATTTTACAGATATCTTTATGTGGATATAAAGCTAGGCCTTTGACTGACTTTTATGAATGACTCCTATTAATGTAAAATTAACTTCCTGTCCAGGTTTAGTTTCATATTCTCAAGTTTTGTGTAGCTCACTTATGTTTTAATGTTTTAATCAACTTAAAGATTTTACATATATATCATCACAGCATTCTGCTTGTTGCATCTTTTCTATTCTTAATTCTACTTAACCATGCTAGTTTTTATTGCCCTTTTCCGCTTTACCTATTGTTTTTCTTCAATTAATTTTTGGAATACTTCATGAGAACTTTGAATTTTAAATGGAATTTCATATTCACAGCTAAAATTCTCTTGTGGAAGAGAAAGCATTGAACTCTTAGAAATGCCTGTTTTTGGTTCTTCATTTTTTTCCTATGGTTATTACTGTATTGATCATTCCATATCTATCATCAGTTCTTTGTTATATTAGCCCAGAATAACCTATGACCATTTAGAATACTGAACAAACTCAGTAGTTCATTGTACATTCTCATTTATTAAGGTGGATTTTTGTGTTCCCTCTTGTCTCGTCTTCTTTGTGCTAGCGCGCTGTGTCCAGTAATCTTTCCTTTAGATTTCATTTTGGTGTGGGTAGGGTTTATATTTTTGAGAAATTATTAATTATATTACTAAATTAAGAGTTAAACTTAATTCTTCTTTTGTTCTTCATATTGAATTAAGTAAATTCATTGAAAGTAACTCCTTGGGTACATTAAAGTGCTGACAAACTCTCAAATGGCTCATGTGACACTGGTGCTACTTTAAGGAAGTGTCTTGCTCACCTGGTCAAACACCCATTCCTCACTGCATTTTGCCAATTCAATCCATTTTAGATGTAACCTCGGGTATGGTGAAAGACCCACCGGACGTCTTGGACAGGCAAAAATGCCTTGACGCTCTGGCTGCTCTACGCCACGCTAAGTGGTTCCAGGTTCGGAACATCATTTTACTTTTTTCTTGTAGCCTTATGAGAGAGTAGTTGAGTACATGTTTAACTGTGCTTAAACATTTCAAAACATTGCCCAAGCAATACTATTTTAAATTAAATCTCAGAAAATATGTTAACATAGAAAGTTGGGTGTGAAGATCTGCATATTGCAGTTACTATTAATTTGACAATAAACTTAGGTTTGGGGGTGTTTTGTAGTTTGGGTTTTTTTATTTTTTATTTTTAGTGACTATATTTAAAGCTGACTTGTTTAGGAACATCACATGTTTGTGTATATATATTATATTCCATAAGGCTGCAGATTAACTTTGCTTTAAATAATGGAATATGTGTTTAAAGCTTTGTGTATAGTTTTAAGATGTTTTTCCCCTCTTTCTCTAAGTTAATAAGTGTAGGGAGTGAAAGGTGAGGAAGCAGCTGTTTGGTTTAGTGACTTTGCAGTCATGCAAAGGCACAGAAGGGAAACCAAACAGATTTCCTTAACCTTTCAGTCCCTAGACAAACTTTTTAGCTCTTTACTTTTTCTTTTATTTCTAATGTAGGCAGATTTTTTTTTTTAAGTTTACTGTTTTAAATGAACACAGGTCAAGGTTCACAGGGGATCAAGAAATATTATTCTTGTATAATCTGTTTACTTTGACCTAAATACCAGCTTTTAAATACTAACCCTGGCATAAAATATTGCTGTAAATGGCAGCTCATTGAATCCAATTTTAAGTGTGGTTATTTTTATTTTTATCTGAGCTTCCATTGCACAGTGGTATTTTAACTTTTTTTCATCAAGGGATATTTTCAGTATTTCTAAGATTAATTCAATTGGTTTTTGTGTTGCTCTCAAGGCTAGAGCTAATGGTCTGCAGTCCTGTGTGATTATCATACGTATTCTTCGTGATCTCTGTCAGCGAGTTCCAACTTGGTCTGATTTTCCAAGCTGGGTAAGTAGTATGTAACTGTGTGGTGTGAAAACATGTAGGAGATATTTCTGTGGGTTTTATCCTCTAAATTTATATTTAATTATCAGCTTTTTTTTTATTTAGTAAATTAGGTTTTTCCTCTTCTAATGAGAAATCATGAGGATCTTAGAATTTAATTTTCTCAGAATTTACTAAATAAAGAATTATAATTCCTCACTGCTAAATTTCACTGGCTGAAAAAAAAAAGGAATTGATGTTTCTTTTTGTATTTTTCTTTCCATTTTTTCTCTTACAGTGTTATTAATTTTTTGAAAATATTACAGCATTTATTGACTTAGATACGCAGATGTATAAAGAAGACTGAAAATGAACTGTTAATCTCCTATGCAGGGTTCTATTGACTTTTTAAAAAATAATGTTATAGGATTAGGAATTTTAAAAAGTGAGGTATGTACATTATTCAAAAATAATACATAAAGTCAGGAAATTGAATAAAGCAGAAAGGTACAAAATAAGACGTCAAGGCCTTCTCATTCAAAGGCAGATTATCTTAGTGGTCTGCTGTGATTTCTTCCAGGGGAAAAAAAATGTGTGCGTATGCATAATATGTTTCTATTTTAATATCCTTTGCTGTTTCAAACTTATTGGTTCCTAAATAGCAAGAATTCTGATAGAGAGGGATTCATTCAAAAATAAAACTGAAGGCCAGACTCATTGGCTCAGGCCTGTAATCCTAGCACTTCTGGAGACCAAGGCAGGAGAATCACTTGAGGCCAGGAGGTCGAGACTAGCCTGAGCAACATAACAAGACCCCGTCTCTACAGAATATTAAAAAAAAAAAAAATAGCCAGTCATAAAGGCATGCACCTGTAGTCCTAGCTGCTTGGGAGGTTGAGGCAGGAGGATCGCTTGAGCCCAGGAGTTTGCAGTTGTAGTGAGTTACGATGACACCACTGCACTCTTGGCCTGGATAACGTATTAAGACCTTGTCTCAAAAAAAAAGAAAGAAAATCAATCAATCAATCAAAACAAAACTTAACCTATTGACTATAGAGTTGGATTAGTGAGAGTTGAATAGCCAAGGTTACCTTCTTTTTTTATTTTTGTTTTTTAAACACAAGAGTGACTGTGCTATTTACATTATTTGCATCTTTCTTAACAAGATGCATCTTGGTACTCTTTGAAAAGGCAGATCTACAGCATTCTCTGTATTGACTATATAGTATTCCCTTTGTATGGATATGCCATATTTTATTTAGCTGATCTACATTTGATGGACATTTGAGTTGTTTAGAGTCTTTTGCTATTCTCACACCACATTATATGTATTGCTGTCAAGCTTTTGAGGGTAGAATAAATTGCTAGGGCTGAAATTCCAAGGTAAAGAACATGTGCTAATTGTTGACCAGAAAGTTATTTTCTACAGGTATATATATGTGTATATTCAAATATATAGCAAATATTCCTGGAAGGATATATTCTAACTTAAAATAGTGATTATTTCTGGTTAGTGTGGAGATCTGTGTTTAATTTTTCTGGGATAAATTATATGTGTATATTGTATAATTAAAAATTATTTTTAAAATTTTAAATATATCAAAGATTGGTTCATTCCGATTATTCTAATACCATTTAATAATTTATTTAGTGTTATCTCTTTCCCTAGCCCTCAGTTTGAAATGTCACTATTATCATAAGCCAATTGTTCTCAGCCAGGGTAATTTTGTCCTGTAGGAGACATTTTGGGTTATCAAAACTGGGCGTCTAGTGGATAGAGCCCATGGGTGCTGCTGAACATTCTGCAGTGCACAGGAAACCCCTACCCCATCCCTGTGCACATACAACAAAGGATTATGGTCCCTAAATTGTCAGTAGCAATGAGGTTTAGAAACTGTTACAAACAAAAGTTTCTTTTTTGTGGGCCTATTTCTGGAGTCATCTTTCATCGCTCAATCTGTTTTCTTCTCCAGTACTAAGTAAACTCTTAATTATTGAAGTTTCATGATGTATTTTAACATTCGAATTTTCCTTTCCATCACATTCCCTCCTCCCCATTCTCTCCCCTCATTATATATAGCTTCTACAGATTTTGTTTTTCTTATACGTTTATTTTTCTAATTGAACTTGACTACCATTTTGTTCAGTTTTCTCAGAAGTCCTCTTGATGTGTTTTAACTAGTATTGCATCAAATTAAGAAATTAATTTGGAGAATATTATCACTTTTATAGTATTGACTCTTAGGCAAGTATGAGATGTCCTACTTATTAATGAAATTGATTTTCTGTACTTGTTTAGATGTGAATAGTTTCTATGCATGTTAACTTTTGTTGTTGTAGGGTGTTTGTACCTAAGTATTTTATCTTGTAGAGATTTTTTTCCCCCTCACTTTCTGTTTTCTGGTTATTGTTTATGTATAGAAAAAAGCTGTTAATTTTGGTAACCTACTCCATACTACCTTCTCTCACTTGTAATTTTTTCACATGAGTCTCTTGGGTTTTCTAGTCTTAGACTCATATCTACAAATGATATTTTGACTTCTTTCCAATATTTTTACTTTTCTATTTTAATTAATTGATAATGCTAGAATAAATACAGAATTTAAAGAAATACTACTTGAAATGCATGTTCCTGATTCTATTAAAAATGCTTCTGGTGTGTAAAGTGTATTAAGCATAATGGTAAAGCCTTTTATTTGACATATTTACTTATGTTGAAGTATCAATCTTTTCCTGGTTTAGTAAGTAATTTTTGAATCAGTAGTGGAAGTTGAACTTTATCAGAAAATTTTTCAAGATTTATTGACGTGAATGTATAGTTTTTCTCCTTCAACCTATTACCACCTTTAATCTGTATTAATACATATAGATTTTTTTCATATTGCATTCCAGGGATGATTCATATATGTAGGAGAATAGTCTTTTAATGAACTGTTAAGTTCTACTTGCTGATAGTTTAGGAATTTTGCAGTCATACAAAATAAATTTTTGTAATTTTGTTTCTGTGCTTTTTGTCAGATTTAGAAGCAGTGATCACTAACTGTCAAAATAATTTGGAAGCTTTTGTTCTTTCTTTAAACTCTGAAGTAGTTTTAGCAGCATCAGAACTTTCTATTCTTGGCTGGTCGTGGTGGCTCATGCCTGTAATCCCAGCACTTTGAGAGGTTGAGGTGGGAGGATTGCTTGAGGCCAGGAGTTCAAGACCAGCCTGGGCAGCATAAAGAGACACTATCTCTACAAAAAAATTTTTAAAAATTAAAAAAACCCACAAACTTTCTGTTCTTTGACAATTTATAAAAGTTTATGTGACATCATCAGTTTTCAGTGCCTTTTAAGGGAGTAGTATTTTCTCTACTACTTCTATTGTTGATTAGTCTCTCTCCTGGGGTTAATTTTGGCAATTTGTATTTTCCTTTAAAATCAACCAATTCAGTCTGGGTGTAATGGCTCATGCCTATAAATCCTAGCACTCTGAAACGCCAAGGTGGGAGGATTACTTGAGATTAGGAGTTCGAGATCAGCTTGAACAAGAGCAAGACCCCGTCTCTACCAAAAATAGAAAAAATTAGGCTGGGCGTGCTAGTGCACACCTGTAGTCCCAACTACTCAGGAGGCTGAGGCAAGAGGATCGCCTGAGCCCAGGAGTTTGAGGTTGCAGTCAGCTACAGTGACACCACTGCACTCTACCCAGGGCGTCTGAGTGAGACTCTGTCTCCAAAAAAAAAACAAAATCATTCAATAGAGCTTTGATCTCTTGGGTTTTTTGTTTTGTTTTTTAATGTCTGTCTATCTTTATTATACCATATTTTGCTTTAATTCTTGTTTCACTGATTAGCCAGTAAAGCATTTGCCATATGGGAGCACAATAACAACATGGATGTTTCAGTATTTAAGTGTTCAGAATTCATTAAATTCCTAATAGATTTTAAATATTTGTAATTATTTGTAAGCATTGTCACTTCAGAGTTTTAAAAAGTATAAAATACAAGCATTGTACGTCATCGTTCTACCTCCTGCATCCTTCAACTTTGGTCTCCTCTACCCAGCGTGCCCTTAGAGCATTCTCTGTTCTAGTAAGTCCAGGTTTCAATACTTGCATGAATGGACTCTCAAGACCATTCCTTCTGGGCCACTGTTGCAGTCTGGAGTTTCAGCACTGCAGATTGGTCCATCCCTGCCCAGGGTCATCTTTGAGAGAGTCATTCATGCATTTCAGATGGTATTCTCTCCTTTGAGAATGGAGAGCCATAAGAACTGAGTGGAAAAGAGAATACACAGGAAAAAGGAATTGAGAGAGCATTGGCCATGAAGGGGAAATGATGGGAGAGAGTGTCAAGAAGAGTGAACAAAGCTGCTGGCTGATCTTTGAAATCATGTATATATAACAATAAGTACACCAGTATTTTGGTACTTTAAAAACATGCCAAAATGTCAGTACCTTCACATTTAAAAATCACTCCTAGTATTCTTTATGCAGTGGTTTATCTATTTAAGGTTTTTTCTGTCTTCTCAGAGAATCAGTTCTGTATTCCTCATTAATAAATTACTAACTTTTGATTTCCTCTATATTTTCTATTTTCCTTGGGTTTATTATTTTACAAATTTCTCGAGTTTAACACTTGATTTGTTCATTTACTCTAGTTATGTAGTGGCGGTTTTAAAGCGATTTAAGGCTGAACACAGATTTTTGGCTGCATATATAATGTTTTCTCTTTATTTTCTATCTAATCTAAAATTTACTTTGATATTATGTTCAAGCCAAGAATAGTTTTGATGGAATTTTAATATTCTGTATGGTTAAAGGGGGGTTGCTTTTGTTTTTGAAATTAATTTTGAGTTTTTATAGTATTGTGATCCAAGAAATATAATCTACTATTTGCAGTTTTTCTTTGTGGCCTAATATATGTTCAATTTTTATAAACTATGGTTATTTAAAAGAAGATGTGCTTTCAACAAGATATATACTTCTTAGTCTGTTGAACTTCATCAGTCATTTTTTGCCTATCTTCTGTATCCTTTCCTTA